GCAGAACCTTCAAGATGGACATGGCTCTTTTAAGGGACCACGAGCTGACACCCATGGTGTACTTATAACCCTTGACTGCCACTTGCTTCAGCCAGCGCTCCAAGTCTGAAAAGGGCAGGAAGCCAGACCCAGAAAGGTAGATCCGAGTTGGGAAGCTCTTGCATAGGGGAAGGCAGGGACCAAGACTCCATGAGATCCCTTCATGGGGCACTCTAGTAACTGTCCTGGAGGAGCAGAGATGTTCTGAAGAGACTCTTGTGCCTGTCTCCTCGGCTGTTAGAGTATCGGGACTGGAATTTCCCTGGAGGAGCCTCATGTCGGGGAAAATGGGCTTCCAGATGGACTTCCAGCTCTAGAAAAGGCTTTTGCTCTGGCTGATGAGTCAATAAAATTGTACGGACAGAAAGGAGAATGGTGTTCACTGAAGTCTGGGAGAGGGGCAGGAGGGTGCCAGGCTTTGGTGGGGTCAATGTTTCAGTCTGGGAGGATGTTTTAAAAGTCCTGCAGATGGATGGGAATGATGGCTGGACACCACTGTGAATGTCCCCAATGCCAATGAACTCAGACTCACACATGGTAAGAACGGTCAATTTTGTGTGTATATGTTAGCATAATAAAAAGTATTGAAAATATCCTGGAGAATTGAAGCCTCAGAGAGAAATAGGAAAGGCAAAATTCCAAGCTCATATTTTTCAAACTATCCTGTTGGGAGTTAGTGAGTAACGATGAACTAGATTTTACTCTTAGATATTTTGGTGGACATTTTTAGGAACAAAGAGAGGAGAGTGTGACAGTCTCATTTCTATCTCCATTCTAGAAATTTCCTGTGGTTACTATATCAGGCAGGGTTCTCTAGAGAAATAGAACGGATAGAATGATTCTCTCTATATTAAACAGGCTGTATTAGAATGACCAGCCCAACGCTGGCTGTCTCTCAGTGGAAAGTCTAAGAATTCCACAGTTGTTCAGTTCACAAGGCTGGGTGTCTTACAGATGGCCTTCAGCGTGTGTCGGAATCCAGAAGAAATGGGCTCTAATTGCCTGTAGGAATGAACTGGCAGTGTGAGGAGGGCAAGCAGGCAAAGAGCCACTGGAGGTGGCCCATTTAGAAAAACCCTTCACAGCTGTGTTCACAGGTGTGGGTTTTGGTTAATTCCGGGTACAGTCAAGTTGACAACCAAGAGCGGCCTTCACAGTTCCCCTCCCTGGTGCTCACGTGAGGATGTGCATATGTGCTCGTTTGCAGGTATGGCAATGACAGAAAGGTTGACTATTTTATCTGTAGTGTTTCTGTGCTATAATATTATTTATCTTTATTATTTTTTAAATAATATGCATATGTGTGGTGTGTGTGGGGTTGTGTGCCAATGAGTCCCAGAGTCAAGAAGAGGACATTGGATCCTCTGGGGCTAGAGTTACAGACAATCGTGAGCTACTGTGTGGGTGCTAGGAATTGAACACGGGTCCTCTGGAAGAACATCCAGTGCTTTTAACCATTGAGCCATCTCCCCAGGCCTGCAGCGTGCCTTCTTCACTGCTCAGCCATCTGTCTATCGGCTTCGTGCTATACTGGTAGCAAGGTGGGAAGAGCAGGCTTCTAGACAAGGCCTCAGTCTCCCTTGTCACTTTGAGGTTCTCACTGAATGACCCATCATGGCCTTAATATGCGGCCCCTTTTCCCAAAAGTCCAGTGAGCCTCATCCGTGTCTGACGGGACAGTCAGTGCACGTGTGTCCATCCCCACTGTCCATCAAGCTCAGCATCTCCCTCTGCTCCAATCCCAGGGGTTTGTGTTGAGGTAGCGTGGACACTGCACTCATCCCAGGACAACGAGAAACTTGGGCACAAGCTGAAGTTCCCTTTCTTAGGGCAATTGAGGAAGAAATAATTGGTTTTTTTTAAAGATTTATTTATTATTTTATTATGTGTACAGCATTTCTTCCATGTGTGCCCACCTGCCAGAAGGGGGCGCCATGTCTCATTATATATAGATGGTTGTGAGCCACCATGTGGTTGCTGGGACTTGAACTCAGGACCTCTGGAAGAGCAGTCAGTGCTCTTAACCACTGAGCCATCTCTCCAGCCCCTCATTATTGGTTTTAAATTCTGTAGTCAGGTAAAGGCTTTTCTGTGTGGCCACAGACTCAGAATAGGTGGAGAGGAAGACAGTCAGCTGTGCTTCCCGCCGGGAGCAGAGCTCCTTCAGGCCAGGAACTGTGACCAACTCTGTTTCGTGTACCCAGTGTTCTCTTTAGCTCTGTGGCCGGTTTAAAGCATCTGCTGTTGCTTCAGTCACACAGGCACAGCCTCCCGCTGCTCTCGGATTCATCTGGACTGAGCAGCGATCCGCTGTTTGAGGCTCTCTGGGTGAAGTGTTAGTTCTTGGATTTTAAGTGGCCTTCTTGAGAACCTGCCTCCTCCCCCGATTGCCCAACTCCTTCTCCCAACATTCTCCCAACCAGGCTTTTCAGGGACTCGTTGGGCCATTCGGAGAGGCCCTTTGACGTCTAGATTGGTTTCAAGCACTTGTCTGACCCTTCCCTTCCCTCTTAGAGCCATGGGGCTGGGTGGGGGAGGTGAGGTTCTGTACTGGATGGTTTGTGCTGGGAGAGGAGATGAGGTTCTGTGCTTTGCTCCCCAGAATCCTCTGTCTCTTCTGGAGTGGGAGGCTGCTCCAGGTCTCTCTCTTGGCTCAGCTATTCCTAGGTCAGTGGGGCAGAATGAAGTCATCCCTGTCTTTTCTACAGCAGGGCCATCACATCTGTTTCCTGGCCACCCTACGGCGCCCTCACTTTGGGCCGTACCCTGGTGTTGCCTTGCTTTCCTTCCTGTCTGACTGAGCCTCCTTCCAGAGCTGACTGTGCTCAGTGAGGAGGAAGTGTGACCTTCTCCAGCTGAGCCATAAGGCAGCCCTTCCTCAGCTGCGGCCGGAACAAACCCATGAGGTCATGTTTCAGGAAGGATATGTGAGTGAGAACTGATTAGTGGTCCCAGAGGACCTCAAAGACTCCGAGGGAAAAAAAAAAGTGAAACAAACAAAAGCAGAAACAAAAAGATAAAAAAAATAAATAAAAGGAAGAAAAATAAAATCATGTGTATGTGGGGGAGCGTGGTGGGTGGGGTTTGCACACTTTGGTTGTGGAAGGCTAGAATTCTTCCTAGCAACCTGATCTGGACCCTGCAGAGGTTTCTTCTGCTCCTTCTAGCTCATTCCAGAAGTTCCTTCCAGGCCTGAATGTCAGTGTCTCTGTTCAATCCTTTACCGTCTAGTACCTGAGCATTAGAATAAATGCTTGTGGTCACCTCCACAGGAGATGGGACATATGAACCTGTAGTTAGCGGCAGGAGTGAGGTCTATCTTGTGTCCCATTGTGTTTGACGTGTGTGTGTGTGTGTGTGTGTGTGTGTGTGTGTGTGTGTGTGTGTGTGTGTGTGTGTGTGGCTGCTAACAGAGCTAGAATCCAGGGCCTCTTACATGATAGGCAGATGTGTTATCATAAATTCATGTCCCTAGCCAGGTAGACACTTCTCTTTTCTGTCCTTAACCTGTGGGCAGTAGGCCTATGGCTCTCCAGGATTACACGGCCCTGGCTAGAGCGACTGGGGCTTATGGCCTCAGGACCCCAGGAGGGCAACACAGATAAGACCACACAAGGCATTTGGAAAGTTATTCTCTATTTAGCGCTGACCTTTGAACAACATGAGAGCTACTTAGGTGATAGTATTTGGGTTACAAAATAATTGGAAGTCTTTTAACCCCAAAGATTATATAGTTTCCCCGGGCTCCTTGCTCAGGATGTGACATTGTCAGCATTTTCTGTGGCCACGGCATCCAGAGCTCAGTGTTCTCTGTAACCTGGATTCCCAGCTCTTCAGCAAATCTCTTGCCAGTTTTACAGGGGATGGGAGGACAGCTGTTCTTCTGGGGCTCCCTGTGTTCCCTCTTGTATTCCATACCCTTGGTGGCTCATCACTTTGACTACTCTGGCTGGCCAGTGAACTTCACGAATCTTCGTTTCTCTGCCTCCTCAGCACCAGGATTTCAAGCGTGTACCACCACGCCTGACAACTTTTACCGGGGTTCTGGGGCTTGAACTCGGGTTCTCATGCTTGCACAGCCGAACCCTCTCCCCAGGCCTGCAACTAACATTTTTATCACGCTCACGTGTTTCCAACCCTGTTCTAAACTGTTCACACCGATACTGACAGAAACCTTCCACAAGGGGCCCTCCTGTACCCCCACCCTTTACTGAGGAGGAAACTGGGCACGGGGAACTTGAAGAGCTGTGGAAGGTCATGCAGTCAGCAGGGGGTGTGGTCAGATTTGGACCAGACAGTGGGGTCTGGTCTAACATTTGCTGCTGTTTCTGTTTCTTCAGGGTAGCCAGGGGAGGCCCCTGCCCCAGTGGTTTGCTGTGTGAGGTGAAAGATTGGGCAGCCTTGTACCACAGCCAGCCACCAAGGCTTCGGGAATGCATCGGAAAAGTGGGGGCATGGGTAGTTGGATGATGAAAATCCCAGCATCGTTCCTTAGTGACGGGAAGGAACGATGGAGTCCCATGATGATGTGTTGGAGTCAGATGGTTTGCTCTCCAAGCCCTTTCTGGGATGGGCATACTGATGTATCATTGGCTGTGCCCCCAGGGCCTGTACTGACATACTGTGAGACATACAGCAGGGCCTGCTTCTCTGAACCAAGGGTGGGGATGCTGGACCGAGCTGGGCATCAGCAGAGGAGCACCAACTTTCTTTCTTTTAATTTTTTAAGACAGGGTGTCTTAAAATCAAGGATGACCTTGATTTCCCAATCTTTCTGCCTTCCTGTCCCAAGTACTGGTATTATGGGTGTGTCCCACTGTGCCTGGATTGGGATCATAAGAGTTTTCATGCTGTGTCTTTGACAGGTGTACTCACAGATGACATGTGTGTCTAGCATGTCCTCTACATGCAGTACCTACTGAGTCAATAACATGTAGTTTTGTCTTCTCTTCTCTTCTCAGACAGTGGGCATGGCTCGCCGCCTGCAGCAGCCCCTCCGAGGCGGCGGCTGACTCGGAGACCAGGCTACATGAGAAGCGCAGCCTGCCCTGGGATCGGGTTCCTCTCTCCAGCAGTGGGCACGTCATGCCAGATCTCAGCAGGGCCGACAGGCCAGGAGTCCCACTACTCACAGCCCAAGGCTGGACAGTGTGGCTCCAGCCCCGGCGGGTGCTGCCAGGTGGTGGGCAGCCCTTTGCTCAAGAGCTCGCTTGCCCCTACTGTGGCCTCTGTGGGCCACCTGCACCCAACCCAGAGCTCTGTGAAAGAAACATCAGTATACTTTGGGGTTCATTCCAGAAATGACAACAAGCTACCTGAGAAGCTGACCAGGCCATGCAGGCCTGGGGACAGTGGATGTTGTCAAGACGGCTTATCTTTGGACAGCTGTAAGTCCCTGGCTCCCAGCCTTGATGTAGCCTGGAGCAAGGGATCAAAGGGCCTGGAGACTGTGAAGCCTCTGGCATCGCCAGAGTTGAATGGCCCGACTGATATCCCAGCTCTTCCTGGCTCCCAAGACACCTTTACTTCCTGCTTCAGCTTCATTCGACTCTCCCTCGGTGCTGCTGGGGAGCGTGGAGAAGCAGAGGGTTGCCTACCATCCAGAGACACTGAATCCCTTCGCCAGAGTCCCCAAGAGATGGCGGCTGAAGCGTCCAGCTCAGACAGATCCCGTGAGGACCGTCGATGTCTCTGGACCTTCAATCTTCAGGCTACTCCGGGCCCGGTGGACTTGGGTCAGGTGACAGGGAGCGGCAGCAAGCCAGAATGTGGCCTAGTCTCTTCCTTGGACACTGGCTTCTCTTCCCAGGATCCATCCTCAGCTGGTGGGTGGGGCGACCAGGGCAGTGGCTGGGCAGGTACCCGAGGATGGGATGCTTTGCTCAGTGAATGGGAGCCCAGGCTGCAGGACCATCTACTGATCAACCGCAGGCAGCTGGAGGTGTGTGTCCTTCAGGAGACTGGTACTCTGACTCAGTGCTGGGTGGAGGCAGGGGGTGGGGCGTCTGACTGTGTGCTGTTCCTGGAAGCAGCAGTGGCTCCTGGGATGGCGGCTGTAAAGATGTGGTGGCGCTTCTTTCTCCTCTGCCTCTGAGCACGGGTGCTCTGCCCTCTGTTCTCAGTCTGCATGGCTTACTTGCTGGCATGGACTCGTTGATTGGGCCCACGCTTCTCTGCAACCTCTGATCTGCAGTGTGGTTTGTTCGGTTCAGCTCTGCTGTGAAATAGGAAAATGGGGGCTGGCAAGATGGCTTGGTGGGTAAAGGCACTTGCTGCCAAGCCTGGCAACTGGAGTTTGACCCCCAGGACCCACCTGGTGGAAGGGGAGAGCAGACTCCTTCAGGTTGTTATCTCCCCTGACCAGGCAGTAAATAGAGGTGATAAAGTATGGCTCTGGGAAGGTAAGGGAGGCAGTCAGCTCAAGTTTGCAAAGCGTGGAATGGGCCCCATCCTCCCCTGCTTTGCTTCATTTGCCCAAAGGGTTGTGTGGGTCCCTCCTACAAAAAAACTTTTATTTTAGTGTGAACATGTGCTTGTGTGTGTGCATATGTGTGCATGCATATGTGCACCTACATGCACACATACAATGTGTGTGTGTGTGTGTGTGTGTGTGTGTGTGTGTGTGTGTGTAGATTGAGGAGGACAATCTTGGGTGTCATCTTAACTTCCCGTCACTGTGCTGGAGTGCACCGTTTAGGTCAGTGAATCTCGGGGATTCTCCTGTCTCCTCCTCTTCAGAGCTGGGGTCCTGGGCATGGGTCACGATGCTTGTGTGAGTTCTGAGCATTGAGCTCAGGTCTTGCAGTTTCAAGGCAAGAGCTTTACTGACTGATCCATCTCTCCAGTGCCCAGCTTCAGTGTTTAGAAGCAAGTACCAGCCACAGTCCTTTAGGAAGTTGTTCTGGGAGGGAAGGCGTGGCTGCTGGTGGCTCTCCACGTCCTCATCCTTCCTTTCTTCTCCCCAGTCTATGATTCCTGTGCTGGGGAGAGAACTAGGGCCTTGTGCATGCTAGGTGCCTACCGCTGAGTTACAAGTCCAGCCCAAGGCAGCACCTTCAAGTAGAGCCGCAGTCCTTCCTGGGCTGGCCTGGAGACCGCTGTGGTCCATGCCTGGCTCTTCACGCAGCTCTTTGAGTTCCCATGTTTACCTTCATGGCTATGCTCTGAGGGTTAGGACAGAGGCCATTTGGCCTGCAGCCTGTGTTCCTTCTCTCCACATGATGGCATAGCTTTGTGGCATTTGTAGCATTCTAAGTATTTCTGGGGATTTCATGCTTAAATTATGCTTTTTGTTCAAGTAACTTTTGTTTTTTAAAAAAGAAACACGCATTTGGCATTGGAAAACCTTATGTGGTTTTTAAAACATAATTTGAATATAAGTTCACGTTTAGAATAGTTTTCCTTCTAAAAATGGTACGACTTTTCAGGATTTTAATTTCCCTATTAGATTTTCTATTTATGTGCATGTGGGCATCATGGTACTTTTGTAGAGGTCAGAGAAGAACGTGTGGAAGTCAGGACTCTATTTCCACTGTGTGGGTCTTGGGGATCAAGTTCGAGTCCTTAGGCTGAAGCCAGGGCCTTCACCCTCAAGCCATCCGGACAGCCCAGTTTTGAAATAGCTCTTAGGCGCTCCTAGATTTCACAAGATGAACGTACTGCAATTTATTCGCAATTTATCTATTCTGTGTAATTTCTTACATGTAATTTATGTCTCATGTTTCCCCTTCAAACCAACACAGGTCACTTCCTTAAGTTTAAAGCTCCAGACACTTCAAGAAAAAGCGATTGAGGCTGGTGATTTCGATAAAGGTGAGTTCAAATCTGTTTGTAGACATTTTGTCTTCTCCCTGACATCTCTCTGCCTTCCTCCCCTTCTCATATTCTGCCTCCTTTGCCCTGGGAGCTGTGTGGTTGACTCCTTTGAGAGTTTCTGCTCTGGGCCAGCCGGCTAGCCTGCTGCCCTGTTGGTCTGGGGATTTCAACCACACGATGGTAGGCTGAACCTTTTTGATTGGTCAGGAACAGGTGAGGATCTGCTCTGTAGGAAGCAAACTAACTCATCACATGCCTGCCCGTGATGCACAAATCCATGAACTATACTGACTGGGCACCCATGGGGGCAGTGGGGAGGAAGAGAAAGTGCTAGGATGTTGATGATGACATCATTATGGGGCCTTCTGGCTTCATGCTCTCCAGGACGAGCTAGATAAATGAATTGCATTTAGGAGATGGCAGACAGTGAAACCCCTCATGGTCAAAAATATTCAAGAGAAGAAGGACAAGTTATAACATGAGGCCAAGAGAGAGTGGGGCCAGTCAGAGAGAGGCCAATGAGGAGCCAAACAGGAGTTGAGCCAGAGAGGGTTCCTGACTGTGCACAGATGGAGGGAGAAGAGGAGGTTTTAGGAGTGGCTGGTTTGGAAGGAGCCTTAACAACTCTGCTGTGTGTGTGTGTGTGTGTGTGTGTGTGTGGCGGGGGTGGGGTGGGAAGGGGGAGGGCTTAGACTAACTTAAAGATCCTCCAGACAACTGTGGGATTGGCAGATACTCCAGTTAGTGGCTTGCTTTAGGGTCCAGGACTGGCTGAGAAGTGTAATACAGAGCCGAGGATTCTCCAGAAGTGTTAGCTCCCACAAAGTCAGTCCATGCAGTAGAATCAAAACCCAGTGCCATTGTCCTTGGCTTCTCAGTCAGCCTTCATTGCCAGCCACATTCAGAGTGTCCAGTTTGATCACATGCTCCATCACACCCAGTCCAGCTGGGGGAGGGAAAAGGGAAATGAGGAGGAGGTGGAAATTTTTAATAAATAATAATAATAATAATAATAATAATAATAATAATAAAGAAGTGTTAGCTCAATGTGTAGGCTGTGGCCACTTGGCCTGTTTCTGTTACTCCATCGCCTAATCCTTGAGCCATTGGAATTGGGACCATGTTGGAATCTGTGAGGGACAGTTCCTCCCAGGAACAGAGGTGCACAGTGTCCTGACTGTGTGTGCCTCTGAGCTGCTCCTCAGGGGGTGAGAGGACTTGAGGACGAAGGCAGGGTTTTTCAGGTTCTCCTCCGCCTCCATCCGCAGGCCGTCAGATTTCACACCTTGCTGGGTGAAGGATGAGTGCCAGAGGGAGCAGAAGGTATGAGGCAGAAGTACCTTCCATGGTAGCCCCGGGGTCCATGCTGCGCCATGGGTAGAAGAGAAGCCAGCTGTTCCTGGGTCCGGGCTCATTGGTGGTTTGTGTCTGTGAAAGACAGTCCTGGTTCTGATGCACCCTCTACTGCAGTCCTGGTTCTGATGCTCCCACTGCTGCAGCCCTGGTTCTGATGCACCCTCTACTGCAGCCCTGGTTCTGATGCTCCCACTGCTGCAGCCCTGGTTCTGATGTACCCTCTACTGCAGCCCTGGTTCTGATGCACCCTCTACTGCAGCCCTGGTTCTGATGCCCCCACTACTGCATCCCTGGTTCTGATGCACCCTCTACTGCAGCCCTGGTTCTGATGCCCCCACTACTGCAGCCCTGGTTCTGATGCATCCTCTACTGCAGCCCTGGTTCTGATGCCCCCACTGCTGCAGCCCTGGGTTTTGATGCACCCTCTACTGCAACCCTGGTTCTGATGCTCCCACTGCTGCAGCCCTGGTTCTGATGCACCCTCTACTGCAGCCCTGGTTCTGATGCCCCCACTACTGCAGCCCTGGGTTTTGATGCTCCCACTCTTGCAACATTGCAGGGGTTTGTTTTCATTGTCAAAGGCTGAGTCTTAGTCCCTCCTCCTTTAGATCATAGCTCCCACGGTGCTACATTCCTTGGATGGAAGCCATGCACACCCTCCACCCCCAAGGTCTTTCTGGACTTGGTTCACCCACTGGTCTTTTTCTAGCCAAGGCCTCACTTCTATCCCCTTTAAATATTCCTGCCACCCTTTGGGAATGAAATTGTGAAGCTCTTGTCAGAGAAGTCAGAAAGAAAGGGCACCCTCCTTCAGAGCTTCTGGGGTGGACCTCGCACTGTGTGTTTTCTCCAACTTCTAGAAGACTCAGGAACTGAGGATGAAGGAGTTGTGGCTGTAGGTTTTCTTCCATGGAGGGGCAGGCCCCGGGACAGTGGCTGGGGGTTTTGTGAGGGCAGATCTCTGGGACCTGGGAGTGTACAGAGAGGACAGGTTGGTTGGTCCACAGTAAGTCCCACACCACTCTCACCCTGCCCGCACCTCAGGCCTGTCCAGCTGGCTTGTGGAGTGTGCATCTGGTCCCTGTATATTCAGTAAATGCTTCAGGAAGGATTGAGATGTCTTGGTACCCACACTATCATCAGCTAGAGGAGGTGAGGAGGAAGCACTCGGAGCTGCTCTTGGCCCAGCATCTGTTTATTCTGCTACCCTGGAGTTCATCACAGTAGTGACGGTGTCGTCCATGGTGGCAGGAGCATATGGTACAGGGTCTTGCATCATGGCTGACCAGAAGGCAGAGAAAACAGACCAAATCCCAAAGCGGGCGTATCTTTCAAAGACCCACTCCTAGTAACCCCCTGCCATATGCTCCTGCCACCATGGATGACCACCGCCACTACCACAATGAACTGAAATCCTCCAAATAAACCCTTCCTTCCTTAAGTTTCTTCTGTTAGAAGAACAGAGTAGCAAGAACAATAACGCAGGGATCTGTGAAGTCTCACAGATGATGGGATTCTGGGCCAGTGGGACCTCAGCGGACACCGCGGAGTCCCTACTGTAGTGAGATTTGTTGAAAGACCCAGGAATATACTTTATTTCTCACCTAGTATCTCAAGGGTTCGTAAAAACCCTGGAAGAATTGTGATTTGTCCACACGTCCTTTATGAACTTTGTTTCTTTTTGTGCATAGACAACGCATTACTTTGTCTTTATCTTGGGGAAGGGTGTGCAACAATTGTGTGTGCAGGAAAGGGTGTGCAGCAATTTTGTGTGCAGGAAAGCCACAGGACAGCAATATGTCCCCTGGAGTCTGTTTCCTTTTCTCTTTCTTTCTACTTTCGCTTTGGGCTCCAGCGAAAGATATGGTTGGCAGAGAATAGAAAGTTCCATGTTTTATCTAATCAAAATCACAGCAAGTTTACTCGGCGATGCCTCCTGGGAACCCCCCTAAGGATTCTGATTCCATCTCTCCCTCTCCAGGAAAGCCAAGTTCATATTTCTTTCATCTTTGCCAACAGCTGAGAAGGCTTGGGGAAGAAAGAATAATACTTTTCGATGCTTAGGGTCTTTTTCCAAAAGACCCTCTGGCTTCATTGTATTAATGCTCACCCCGTGACTGTGGGGGCTGAAGGGTGAGAATGAGACCTCGGGAGAGACCACTGCTCGGAGCCTGGAGTACAGAGGAGAACTTTAGGGCACGGCTGAAGGGAGGACAAGACTGTCCACAAGGATCCTCCGTGTCGCTCCTATTTTGATTTACTCCCACAACGTATTCTGTCAGCCCCTGACTTACGCCCACTGTAACCATGTCTGTCACTACCATGTCTGTCACTTTGCTCCCCAAATGAGCAAGGAAAGGCTGTGAGAAAATCTCAGTATCTTACCTCGCCCCCCCAATGTGTGTGTGTGTTCATGTGTGTGTGTTCATGTGTGTATATGTGCAAGTGTATGGAGGCCAGAGCTTTGCTGGGAGCTGAACTTGGATCCTCCACAAGGGCACTAAAGCTCTTAACTGCTGAGCAGTTTCTCCATCCTCCACTATACCTGAGGAAAAACCTGAATGTTGTGGTTTTATAGTACTGTTTCTATGTTTAGATATATTCAGGTGTGCAAATTCTTGCATTGTGTTACAATTGGCTACATTTTTTTATCAAGTTGCACACAGTGTTTAGCATAGTGGTGTGCATCCTGGAGCTGAGTGGTGCGGCAGGTCGCAGCAGGGAGCAGAGCAGAGTGCAAGGCTCCGCCGTGGAGCCAAGAGGGCTCTGCAGGCTTCAACATGGGGCTGAGGAGCACAGCAGAATGCACCGTGAAGTCTGCACCATGGAGCTGAGGAGTGTAGCAAACTGGACAGTGAAGCAAGGGATACTGCAGGCTGCATTACATAGAGAGGTCGAGGGGTGTGGCAAAATGCACTGTGGAGATAAGGGTGTGGCTGTTTGTGGCACTAGGCTTGTGCTAATGCACCCCATGGTGGCTGAACAGTGGGACCACCCCAGGATGCATCCATACTAGACTGTATCTCCAAGTTCTTTGCTGGACTGTATGAAGCAGCGTGACTTAGGGCTGTATCTACGTCTATATCTATATTAGTTCTGTATCTCTACCTCCAAGCCCACTTTCAGATTTGTTTTAAGTTGCCCCTGGTTGCCAATTTCCCAGAGACTTTTGTTCTACTTCTCCCCAGGAAGCAAATCTCATGTCCTTGGAGGTTTGTGTGTTGTAACATTTGGTCCCAGTGTAACATTTGGTAACACTCTTTTGGGGTGGTTGTGAATTTTTATGGGTAGAGCCTCACTGAAGGGAGGGGGTCACTGGGGACAGGTCTTGAGGGTTTTAGCCTGGTCCTCATTTCTGTTCCTGGCATCTTCCTGCCTGATGCAGTAAGGTGACCAGCAGCTCCGTGCTTCCCTGTTGCAGAGAGAGCCACCCCCACTTCCATGCATCCCTGCGGAGATGGATGGCCTCCTCTGAACTATGAACCCAAACAAGCCTCTCCTCGCCAAGTTCTTTCTGTCACAGCAACGAGCTAATACACAAAGTAGCCCTTGATTGATGTCTGATCAGGACAGTGCAAAGAGGGTTTGTTATGTGGGGCTCTGGAAAGGCTCCATTAGCTGGGTATTATGCGTATTATAATAAAGAGTGATTGGACCACAACGTGCAATTGAATTGACTGAGTGATAGCTTCTGCTGGCAGAGTGTTCCAACTCTTTTACTTTTGCGTGAAGTGACAGAAACAATTAGCGTATTCAAAACCTGAAACCCTTAAAAAACACCTTCATGAGCCGTGAAACATTTGTTGATAGTGCATTTATGTGTTTGTTTTCCTTTCCTGTATGTTTTCAGTTGCGGTATCGTGAAATGAGTCGTGAAAAATTTAGCGTCTCCCTCTGTCTCTTTGGATGGGGATGGTCCAGCTGACACAGTAGAGTGTCCCGGGATGGGCGAGGAGACAGGGTGTCAGGGCAGCAGCTGCTGTGTGCCCTGCTGTCTGCTCTTGGGCACCTGTTTGCTCTGGGATAAAACAGAAGCAGCAAACCTGTTCCCTGGCGTGGGAGGAATGATGGTGCAGGGTATGAGCGCCCACAGCTCAGGGCTTGGAAGGAGCGGGTCCCTTTCTTCCTCTAGCCCATACGTGTTAGAAGGCACAGGAATCAGAGGGTTTGACTAACCTTAGCTGGCGGTTAGCATCGGGAACAAGCAGAAGGCAGGACGAGATAATATGGCACTTTATTTTCTATGTGTCAATAAGAAGCTCATTGTGTGTGATCTGATTTCTTTCAAGATGCAGAAATAAGTTTATAAATGCAGTAAAGTGCACTATGTCGTAAAGCACGCAAATTGTGAAGTGTTTGAAGTGTGAATATTCTAAACATCTTAGCGAATGGGTTTTTCTGCTCTCCAGGGTGAATTTCAGGATCTTGTTTTTCTTGTTAATTTTCTGGTGCTCTGCTGGATGACACTGCGTGACACCGAGGAAATAAAATTGTAGCTCTTCTTGGGTTTAAGGAAGCCCCAACATCGATTACTGTCCTCGTTAGTTCTAATTTTTAATTGTCAACGTGACATAACCTAGACTCATCTGACAGGAGAGCTTCAACTGAAGAATTGCCTAGATCAGACTAGCTTGTGGTATGTCAATGGGGAATTGTCTTGATTAAATGTCTTGTTAATGATGCTGGAAGGTCCAGCCCACTGTGGATGGCGTCATTCCCTAGGCAGTGCTCCTGGGCTGTACAATAAAGCTAGCTGAGTACGAGCCTGTGCCAGCCAGCTAGCAAATAGCATTCTTCCATGGTTTCTGCCTTGGGTCCTTGCTTGAGTGACTGTTCTGACATCCCTTTACAAAGGGCATGTGTTCTGCAAATATAGGCCAAATAAATGCTTTCCTTCCTAAGTTGATTTTGATTAGAGTATTTATTACAGCATCAGACAGAAACTAGGAAACTATTTTGTCTTTGTGATGGCATCTCGTGGTATAGCCCGGCTGGTCTTGAACTCCTGACCCTTCTGTCTCAGTCCGTCAAACAGCTGGGGTTACAGGTTCAGTGCCATACCCAGGCTTGATTATCTCGGTTTTGAAGCTGGGACGGAGGGGAGATGGAAAGGGACAGAATGAAAGGGGGATCCAGATGGCGACAAGGCTGAAGGGGAGGTGGAAGTGCTCTGTCCTAGGACGCTTCCCATTCCCCATGGGCACCTGCTATTCTGTGGTTCTGTGAACTCTGCCCTTGTGGGCAGAGAGGATGATGAACCATCCCCCACCATTCCTTTTAGAACTCTTACAAACTGGGTGCCCGCTTCCTCTACATAAAGATGTTACACTGCTTTGCCTTCGCCTTGACTCTGTGCCGCGGATCTCTGGACGGCTCTTTGTTCGTATGGACTGTCCAGGCATTTGCTTCAGTCTGGTATCTATCTAGTGAAGCGTTGCAGTACTCATGGTGCCTACCTGCTCTCAGCAGCAGCACTTCCTGTGTCTCAGCGGGGGGCACTTCCTGTGTCTCAGCGGAGGCACTTCCTGTGTCTCAGTGGGGGCACTTCCTGTGTCTCAGTGGGGGCGGGGCGCACTTCCTGTGTCTCAGTGGTGGCACTTCCTGTGTCTCACTGGCTGTCTCCTCTGAAGCTGGCTTTCTGCTGCGCCCTCTCCCAAGTCTTTGGTGTGGGAATGTGGTTGCTCTAAAGGCCCCATATGTGATGGTTAGCTTAATTGTTAACTTGAGAAGAATCTAGACTCCTGCAGGAGATGGGCCTCCCGGCATGCTCATAGGGGGTTATCTGGATTGCCTTAGTTGAGGTGAGAAGACCTGCCCACTGTGGCAGACTAATGTGTCAAGGTGACAGAGCTCGTATTTGGAGTCAAGACCAAATGGGGAGTAAAATGAGGAGCAGAAAGAAAGAACATCAGTCAGGTACCGTCACTGACTGTCTCCAACCCCCAACTCCACGCTGCCATGGAGACACTCAGTGGACTGTTCCGTGACCTCCTTGCTTGGTTGCCTGAGAGTTTTTGTATTTTTTTTTATCATATCCTGGTTCCTGACAGTTTTAAATAAGTAAGAAAAGATTTTAAGTTGATATACCACTTTCCTTTGCAATCCTGGGGCCTAGCATGTCCAACCTAAGTCTCCATGGCTATATTTGCACACACCTTCCCACTGTAGCGCCCTGTCTTATCCCTGTCCCAGCCCAGCTCCAAGTGCTTAGCTCCTACTGTAATAAAGAGGCCTGGGGCTTGCCTGGACCCTCCCTTTTGCTGGATTGTGAGATTAGACAGCTTGTAGATTTGTGTCTTTCCCACAGGTGTCTTTTTTTCTATCTGTGACCTCAGCATTATCTGGTTGTACTAATTCACGGGTCTCTCCTTGGATCTCTGGCTTCTGGTCTCACCTCTCGATTCATCCTGCACATAGCATCCCACCTTAAGATTTTTTCTCTTCTTGTCTTAGCCAGGGTTACTATTGCTGTGATGAAACATGACTGAAACACCAAGCTGGGGAGGAAAGGTTTACAGGTTCCACTTCCGCATCATAGTCTATCTCTGAAGGAAGTCAGGACAGGAACTCAAGCCGGGCAGGAAACAGGCAGGAACCTGGAGGCAGGAGCTGATACAGAGGCACGGAGGGGCGCTGTGTGTTTCTCATGGCTTGCTCAGCCTGCATTCTTATAGAACCCAGGACCACCAGCCCAGGGATAGCACCATACATAATGGGCTGGTCCCTCCCCATCAATCATTAATTAAGAAAATCCCCAAAGAAGGACCTTATGGAGGCATTTTCTCTTAATTGGGGTTCCTTCCTTTCAGATGATGCTAGCTTGTATCAAGCTGACATAAAAGTAGGCAGGACCATTCCACCTGTCCTAACCACTGTGACTAGGACAGGTGTTAGCCAGAACAGTCCCCACCTCCCCTGATCACACTGTGGCTAGGACATGTGTTAGCAGGACAGTCCCCACTTCCCCTGATCATACTATGGCTAGGACAGGTGTTAGCCAGGACAGTCCCCACCTCCCCTGATCACATTGTTACTAGGACAGGTGTTAAAGTAGGCCAGGCATTCCTCACCCTACCCTAACAATATTTTCTCTATCCTGATTCTTTTTCTGCCTGCTCCCCCAGTTGCTCTAGAGAACCGTGGGCCTTGACCCATACCACACACTGAACACGTACCATTCCTTCTCTGTCCTAGGTCTGAGGAGACCCACCTGCCCTGGGGTTAGCGTTTTGAATGTTTGTCCCCCTACACATTATACTTGAATACAGCTGTTGTCTCTCTCGTCGGCTGAGCTTCTTGGGCAGAGGAGAGACCCTGTTTATATTTCTTTCTATTTTTAAAGACAAAATAACATAATAAATAAAAATTAAATATACTCAGGAGATAGGTTTTTTTTATTATTTTAAATTATTAGCTTGTTCCTTGCCTAATTTTAACTCTCCCCTCCAGCATGGTGCTAGTCAAAGTTTCCCATTGAGGAATAAGTGTTTGGGATACAGCTTATTACAAATAGTAATGACTGTCTTTATTGTTATGAGACAGGGTCTCATGCAGTGTAGGCTGGCCTCCACTCTCTATGTAGTAAATGATAATGTTGGATTTCTGATATTCCTGCCTTTATCTAGTGCTGAGAGTGTAGTTATGTATCACTGTGCCCAGTTTGTGTGGTGCTGGGGAAATCAAACCCAGAACTTCTTGCATGCTAGGTAACCACTCTAGCAACTGAACCATGTACCCAGCTCCCGTTATTGTCATTTTATGGTTATTAATAGTAGATAATTATACAAGCCGCATAATCATAGGATTTCAGAACCTTTAGGCCAATCTAGTTAAAAAAATCTGCCAACAAAATCGGGTTCTGCCATCACAGCAGGCGGTATAAACTTGTACAGATGTTCCAAGCTAGGCTCTATTTTCCCATCTGTCAACAGGGCAGCCTGCTAGTGAGCTAATTCATTTGGAGAATCAGCTCATGCTATAATGGGACTTGTATACGGTACCTATTATGACGGTGTGGTGATTTGAGTAAGAATGGCCCCCAAAGGCTTATGGAGTTGAATGTTTGTTCATCAGGGAGTGACCCTAATTGAGAAGGATTAGGAAGTGTGGCCTTGTTAGATAAAGTGTGTCACCAAGGGTAAGCTTTGGGGTTTCAAAGACTCAAGCCAGGCCCAGTGTTTCTTCCTTCATGCTGCCTGTGAATCTGGATGCAGAACTCTCAGCTACTTCTCCAGCACCACGTCTGCCTGCCTGCTGCCATGCTTCCCACCATAACAACAATGGACTAAACTTCTGAAGTATAAGCCAGCCCCAATGAATTCATGGTCGTGGTGTCTCTTTAGAGCCGTAGAACACTGACTAAGACAGATGGTTTATCCCATTGTCACCTTGGTTGGATGTTTTGGGAATCTTTTTGTAAGATTTGACTCCCAAGAGAAGAACTACTCAGAATACAGGTGGCACCATTCTGTGGACTCGGGTCCTGGACTAAATAAAAAGGAGAAATGAAGCGACACACCGGCATTCACCTCTCTGTTTCCTGACTGTGAAGGCGCTATGAGCCGCCTCCTCACACGCCTGCTGCCTAGCGGTCCCTCCAGGATACGTTGTGTCCCCTTGAGCCCCTACCCAGAATAAGCCCTTCCTTCCTCACATTGTTTTTATCACTGCAACAAGAAAAATAAAAACTAACTGAGTGAGTGTTAGCCACAAGGACAGACCTAGAAGAATGCTTAGGTCTGAAGAGACTATGAAGAGTCTTCAGCTCCTAGCTTTGTTTTTCCCGCTCAGTCTTGCTGGTACCCAGCTTCCCGCTTCCGATGCACTGAGAATGCCCAGCTCTATGTTAGGGAGTACGAAAAGAAATCAGGATGCCTGTACGAAGGAACATTTCACATGTCACAGTAGACAAAGTTATTTTCTGACATGACAATGGATCGGGTGGAATGACCTTTCAAAGCCTGACAACAGTGACGGGGTGGAGGGGACAGTTTTCCACTTGACCTTTGTACAGTGTGCCAGCTTGTGCCGTAATTTGGGGTCAGTTGTTATTGACAGGCTTGGCAGAGCCCCAGCTTGACGAGAGCTTGTTGGAGGGAGATGGGCACCAGGCACTGCTGTCAGCCTCAGAGTGCAGGAAGAACTTCTATGTGCCCAAGGGTGGCTTGGAATGATGGCTCCCCCGACTCACTGGCAGCACGTCTAGTATAAATTAGTTCCTCGGGGAGTTTGGTTTGAAGTGAGATTTGCTCATAATGAGTTGTAATTGTCAGCTGCTTGGTTCTTTGGCGTCACCCCCGCTTGCAGTGGCTTGTCACCCTACCCGACAGCGCTCTCCTTTCTCAGGGACTTGGTGGAATGTTTTCTTCTCTCTTTTATATCACTTTATTTTTGCTTTTCTCTGAAGTTTGCTTGCTTTCTGTAGTTCCCACCACAGGGGGTTTCCCTGAGTTCCCCAGGAGGGCTCAAGTGTGAATGTTGTTTATCTTTTTGGACTGTTTCTGGGAAGAATTGGTACTGGGCATGGCTGGGGAAGCAGGGGCGATGGGTTTGGTGGAGGAAACTCCTCTTAGGAACCGGTTGTGTCCCTCCCGAAACTATTCCATAGATCACCACAGAGGATTCTCATCAGCTCTTCAGGGAGTCCTTGTAGGGGCCAACTGTTGGTTCCAATCATGGCAGTTAACCGTGGGAGAGCCTGTCAAGCTGCCCGGCATTCCTAACCACCACATCCATGATCCCAAGCTCTGAGGAGTGGAGGCAGGAGAGTTCAGGGTTCAAGGATAGTCTGGGTTACACAGTGAGACTCTGTCCCCAAACAACAAAAGGAATGAGAATAAAAAAGCCGGGGATTCATTTGGCTACAAGAACTGTACTCTGGGGCCTCCAGGGC